ATTCTATAGAGGAAATCACTGCATGGGCTCAGGAACACTTCCGAAAACCACTGTCAGTGAACAGAGTGTGTCACTGCATCATGCAGGATGAAACTGCCATGCAAAGAAGAGAACAAATCTAAACGTGATCATGAAACCCCACCAACTTCTCTAGGCCTGAGATGGAGGCAAAATGGAAAGCTGTCCTGTGGTCTGATGAATCAAAATTTCAAGCTGTTTTCGGAAATCATGGATGCCGTGTCCTCTGAGCTAAAAAGGAGCAGGATGTGTGTTGCTGGCATCAAAGCCAAATTGAGCATATGTTTGTCATAAAACAATAATATTTCTCAGTTTTGACATTTGATATGTTGTCTTTGTTCTATTTGCAGTTAAATATAGATTTATATGATTTATATAAATATAGGTTTATCTATTTTTATTGACATTTTACAGTGTCGCAACATTTTTGGAAACAGGGTTGTTGTCACTAAACTCCACAAAAGCATGGTATCAAAAATCACCGCCTCTGCGAGCTTCTGGGGCTGTTTTGAAACAATTTCTGTCAAAGTCAAGTGGACAAGCATTCATAACCTGGTGAAAGGTGCAAAAACACTAAACCCCTAAACTAAGGGAAAAGGTAATAAGGTCCGAATCGTTTTTCATTCATTTTTCTGCAGCCTGATGGGTTTAGGTAAATACTAATGACATACTTCCCATGCTGTCGTGAGTAGCAGCCAATTCAGCCCTAAATTTCATTTGGGATTAATAAAGTAAGTCAGTAAATTAGTATGTATGTATGTATGTATGTATGTATGTGTGTATGTATGTATGTATGTATGTATGTACTGTATGTATCTATCTATCTATCTATCTATCTATCTATCTATCTATCTATCTATCTGCAATAAAGTCTCATCACTTGGATAGTCACTCCTTCCCCTCTCACTGTTGTGACAGTACACCATAATCACAAAGCAAAAAAAGAATTAGATTGCATAAAGATTGTGAAATTAAAGAACATCTCCCTTCCAATCTTTTAACCATTCTCCAGTCAGTGTTGTGTAATGTATGCTTTTCACTTAGAAGCTTATTTTTTAAGAAAGATAAGGAAAAAGAAAATGTATCAAAGTCTAACTCATTAGCACCTTCTGCAATACAGAGCAAATCCGGATTCTGACGTATAATAATTTGAAAAAAAAAACATTGAAAGAATGGTAACGCTTTACATTAACCGCACCTTCATAATGCATTCATTATGCATTTATAGAACACTCAAGGGCACCTCCATATTGCATATATAGAACATTCAGTGCACCTCCATATTGCATTTATAGAACATTCAGTGCACCATCAAAATGCATTTATAGAACATTCAGTGCACCATCAAAATGTATTCAGAGAACATTCATAGGCAGCATGTAAGACTACAGTACCTTTACACCTTAACATACCTTAAAATCACTTTAATATACATAAATAACAAACATTATAATCATATTATTGTATAATGTTTGTTATAAGTATTGAAGCACTGGTGCAGAGTGACAGCACAGAGAAGGACAGCCTCAGACACTTGATCTTGTTACTGTGACAAATCAAAAAATATTTTACAGATCTTTTTCGACCTTTGAAGACATATTGTAAAGGGGGAAATCGAGATCTGAACAAATTTGGAAACAAATCGCACCAAAACTGAAGCAGTGCTGCACAGTGATAGGAAATGAGAAGGTCAGCCCAGACACTTCTGATATCTCAATCCATTTATGTATGTATGTATGTCAGATCGTTTCATAAAAATCGGCTGGTGAAATTTATGAAGTTAGAGTACACGGTTTATTTATGTTATGTAGTGAATTTAAAGTGTAAGTTTACAAACAAACAATTGTTGGGTTGAGTACCGATGCTTCCCAAAAATACCTCAGTGCTGTAACCAAGTAGTTTTCCTTTGTTACTTTTCACCTTTGCTGCAGGGACTGCAGGCAGTCAGTGTGTTTAGCCAAGTCATCTCACATTCAGTGTGTTTGCAGGATTTCAGCTGACAGACCGCAAGGTAGCTCTCAACATGATTGTTTGATTTACTTCAAGGACTGAAGTAGTTCAGTGTATCTGCAAACAGTCCTGTTATATACTGTAGTATGTACTTACATCGTTAGGCAGAGATAGGAGCTAACTTACAGAAATATCAATGTCATTCCATATAAACACAGCTAGGAGATCCACAGACCATGATACATGAATACATGATACACCGAGATTCAGTTAGAAGGGGCACCCACGACCCACATTCTGTTTAGATTACCTAAATCCATTATTTAACCTGTTTTATTGCTCAGATTGATCTGTTACTAATGGCTGTTTCCTGAAGGTTTGAATCAGCTATATAGATGGTGTTCTTTCAAAATAGCACAATTTTAGCTGTGCTTCCATGATGTGTTATTAATAAAGCATTATTTTATTGATTTGTTACCAAACATATACAAAAAAAAACCAAGCATATACAAATGACTGAGCACATACAGCTCTATAATAGAGGTGACGGAAATAGGGTAAGTAACTTATATTCTCACTAATATATCCTCAGTGTGTTCCCTAACAGGGTGGGCTTGCCGATTTGCTGTGTGATAACTGACTCACAAGTTCAGCACTGGACAGCTACCCCATGTTGACCAGCCTGTGTCGTTTTTCCTATCCTCCTGTATTAGCTGTCATGTGATAAGTTAGATGTACTACCGTTCCACTACAGTGGCCAAGTTCATTGATCTTTTCACTCTTGACACATTTCATTAATGTATTCAGCCGAGAACATTTTAACAAACTAGCCATTTTCCATGATCACTTATCCTATTAGAGGGCCTTGAGGAGCCTGGAGTTTATTCCAGGAAGTATAGGGTGCAATGTGGAAGAACAGTCTGAACAGGATGCCCGTCAGGTGCAGAGACATGCTTACAACTGGCAAATTACAGACACCGATTCATTTCATGCAGAATGAAAGCTGCATGAATTCCAGGAGACCATGCATACTAGCACTCACTGCACCAACACTAACACAGCTACAATGACCAAACTGGGGAGGGGGGCAAGGGCAGGCATAATTTATACACAGATAATGAGTAACAATCCAGAGACAGGTGTGAGTGATTGGCACATTAGGGCTGGAAACAATTAAGAAAATATGGTATGGCCAAGGACCAGTCAGACATTTGTAACCTGGGGACTGCTGGTACCACGCAAGGATGAGCTAAATACCCTAATGCTGCATTTACAGCTAAATAAACATTATTAATATTAATATCAATGCTGACTCCTGATCAACATTTCTTCAAAGGATACTGACTTCTTTCCAGCATCCCAAAGTTCATTTGACAGTTGAGTCCATACACCTTTTTGCTGGTTGTCTTTCGACTCTTTTATCATCACCTTTTCCAAGCATTAGAGAATTCTTCACAGCACCAGATATAAGCAAAATAATATTGGCCATTTGTACTTCAAGTGAAAATGCAGGCCTGATTTGCTCAAGAATCCACTCCCACAGAAAGGTTTATTTGTACCATTCTATACATTACATAGAATAATTATAAAGACATCTAAACCATAAAACAACATATGTGGAGCTGTGCACGGACCAAAGAAGTATTAAACAAAAAAAAATTGTTGATCAAAAAAAAGAGCCACTTTCAATCGTGCCTGATTCAGATAACTTTCGGTAAAAAAATATTGAATAGATTTGCAATTAATTAGTACATGTTGTTTCAAACATTTCAAAAATAACTTTAAAATATAATTTAATGTGAAGGAACTTCATACGTTTACATACTTCATACATTTTCATCTGACGAGTTGGGGGTGCTGCACCCCCGGTAAAATCGCCTACGCCTGATCCCCATTTTCATCAGTGACTTGAATGGTTTTTCCCCAGGTTGATTCGCTCTTGATTCAAAAGTTTAAAAAAACGCGCCCCGCACAGTGGGGTGCAATACGCCTTCCTGGCCGGAGGAGGCGCTGGTTAAACCTGCAGTCGCACCAAAATGTCTGCGGAAGTGTGTCCTTTAAACTTAGAGGGTTATTTGGTTAACTGTTCAGATTCTTAGTCAAGTTGGGATCTGTTACGATAAAATGATAGATTTTTGTGTAAGCTAAATTTTATATATGGCCGTTTAAAATTGTATTGTTTCATTTTGATGTAGCGTCAGCAGGTGAAGCATGCAGCGCGGTTCCCATGCAACCAACTCGCCTGACTCATGCGGACAAGCCTTCCGCGTCCTCGTCGGGGTAACAGGCAGTGTGGCAGCTTTAAAACTGCCTCTGCTGGTCTCGCAGCTCCTTGAATTACCCGGGGTGAGTGCGACTCCTCCAAATAATAACCTGGCTGACCCGTTATCTGCGGTCTGCCTTCATCCATGACATGTTTGGTTCCACATTAACGTTGACAGCTCCTCTTCAGCCCCGCCACTTTTTAAATCGAATGATTAAAATAATAAAAAAAAATATGTATACAGTATATGATATGATATACTTTGTAGATTCCGGGGGAGGAGGGGGGATTTCTTATGCATACAGCAGTGAGGTTCATAAAGTGCACAAGTACAAACACATTGCCAAACGAAGTGCAAAGACCCACAGTACACAATATAGTCCAGGAAATAACGGAGGATTGATGTGCGACTATGTTTTAGACAGTCCAAGTAACGTAGGTTGGTCTATCTGAGGATAAAGCTAACAGGTAAGTGACCCGTTTCTTATTGTAGACTCCATTCCAATGTCGCCCCTAAGCTCAAACCCGTCTGTGATTAACTGGCGTCACTTGCTAAGTGACTGAGTGCGAGAGGCTGCAAGGGCTCGAAATGGTGTGAATAGGAATGGAACACCACATTGCTACGTTACCTTGACAACGCCACAACATGTTCCTTACTGTTGTGGGTTTATGACTTATTTTAAAATTTGCACTTTTTTTCACGGGCAAGGCAGTTAAGGGACCGCCTGCCTCATTTGCACATGTTCCAGGCTTTTGCGTTATCGAGTAGACAAGAGGTAATTGTCAAATAATCAATTTACTCTTTGTTTTGTCAAAACAGCATTTAAGCAAAAACTAAAAGAAATGGTTTACCATTTATGTTTCCTGGCTTCCCCTGGTATTTTTTTGTTGTTTCATGTCAACAGTATGAACGGTGGGTAAGACAATGTCTGCAGAAATGCAGATTTATGGACAATGTCCTTAAAGGGCTCAGAATGTCTGCGAGAGAACCCTCGTACACTTGATGATTTGACACTGGAACAGCTCTAAGCCCTCAAGGACTTGGCAGGAACGCACCTCAAAGTCCGTGAGTCTGGACATTGGGATTGCGCCATAAAATTACTCGAAAGGCATGGAAAGCTAGCTGTGTGATAGGGCTGGTATTTCCGTCCATGGGGAGAAAGCTCAGAGGAGGCATGCAGGGCCAATCCCAGCGCATGTGACACCTTAGCCAAGCATCGCTGCCCCCTATCGGAGGCAAAGTGAAATTGGCTGGCAAGTTGGCCCCCCCTCAGAATCTGATACACTAGCTGACTGTGTGCTGCCTATAGTATTGTGTGACCCTGCAGATTGGGTTATAAAAATATAAATTTGTACCATAACTTCAAAGGATGTGTAATAGAAGTAAATATATGTTTCGTTCATCATAAGTATGATGGTCAATTTGAATGGAAAGTGCATAATATAGACATTAAGTAAATAATTTTTATGTATTAATTCAGATACTTACTTAAACAAGTTAAAATGCATTTATACACTGACTGTGATAGTGGAAAGTGGGATGGGATCCTGTTCAGACAGACAACAGCTTTGGGATAGGCAGTGGTCCATCCTGGATAGGATTCCTGGGATTCCTGTCTGTCACATATACACATATTTATACTCATATACTCTCACACACAATGTGAAGATTTCATGCAAGCCCCTCACATACACACAGCAGAAGTGTGAATTGAATCGGCAACCGTGGCTGTATGAAGCAACGGTGCCACCGACTGAGTCAGCATACCACCCGCTGTCATATAATGCCAAAAAAAAATTAACCAGACCTTGGGTTCCCCATTAGACAGATTTTCTTACTTTATTTTTATGACTGTTTCTTAGATACAGCTCCTTTCTGATGGCTCAGTTTCTGGAGCTGAACATTCCACTTCTGATTACTGCTGGTGTCGCATGTAACACATTGTTTCTCTTCTGCAATTTTTTGGTACTAGTCTCCTTTCAGCATGTGACCATAACTCACAGGGATGTCCCTGTTTTGTGCTTTTAATTTTTCTATAGGTATATGTCATTTACACTTCCCTTTTGCAGTTTGGGGGATTTTACTCTGAATTGGGCATGGGTCAGAGAATGTAAAAGCTTTCAGATGACATGCAAGAAAAGGCCTTGTGCATTTTTCGGTGCCTGTTTGCTGTTGTGTTGGTTTCCCCACATTGGCTGTGCTTGCCTCCGTCTGTCAGAGTAGGACCAAAAGTTTGCTGTGTTTTTTACCTGGGAGGGGATTCAAAGGCGACAGCTTGAGACAGAGATTGTTAGGAGAATCCCTCTGGTGTTGGAGGCAACAACTACGAATGGACACCAGTACTGGTTTTCATATGCATCAGATACTTAACGTTATTTCTGTTATTAAAGTGAAAACAGAGAGGCAATGCTGCAGATTTTGTCTGAGACCATTCTGAGCCTGACACCAGTTCCTGTGCTATCAAGTATGTACCACACAGTGCTGAACTCGGTAACTAACTTTCAAACCTAACAAGTCTGGGTTACTTCCTGTGGTATTTCTGAGTAATTGATGCACTCATCATGCCTAAATGCTCTAAAGGTCAAGTTGCCATTCAGCTGTGATGTGTATCTCAAATGGTTTGCAGGTATAGCTGTTCCACACCAATTTCCTCAGTGGCTTGCATATTTTGCGCATATTGTGTTTGCTTCGAATGTGCGGACTTATACGTCAGGTTTTATTCAGCATTGTGCTGTACAAGGGAGATCTTTTGTCAATTCTGGAGTACTGGTAGGTTAAAGGCTATTTTTTCGTAATGTTTTTGATGCTGGTCTTAAAGGTAGCACTGACTGGCTTTTATTTATGTTTCTGATTTTGTGTAATCCTGATCATTTTAATAGCCTTTTTCATTGACTGGGAGCTCAGTTTTTTTTAGCCTGGTGTTGATGTTAGTTCACGTTCACAGAATTTGAAGCAGTCAGTCAGTGGGATGGGCAGGTTGTGTGCCCCCTTTGGGTTGCCTGGTCATTATTTAAATTTTAATGATGCTTTATTGATCCATGTGGGGAAATTCTCTCCGCCTACTATCCATGTGGGTGAGAGCAAGCTTGGCAGCAAAGGGCCCATGGAGTTGGAGGTTAAGGGCCTCGTTCAAGGGCCCACAGACATGCCTGTCCTGGCAAGGCTGGGCTTGAACTGGCGACCTTCCTGGCACAGTCATAGCGGCTTAGCCCACTGAATCAAATCCTGTCCCTGTTTTTTGTTGCTGGGACCTGATGTACAAACTGTCCACTGCAATCTGCACATCTGTTAACCTGGTGGAGCAGTTTGCAGTAGGTGAGCGATGAAGTGCAGGCGAATGTTCTTGACAGACAGTTGTCTTCCAAGCAGTTGCAATCAGTGAAATATTTTCAGATTCAGAAAGTGTCACATAATGGGAGGTGTTAACATGCATGAAGAGACCTGGGCTGAGTTTCGTGAAACCTACTTAACACTATGTCATGCATTATGTGTTCTTTGTAAAAGAACTTCTGAATGACGTAGGATTACGAACATTTCAAGAAACAGGCCCCTGCCATTTTTCTTTTTTTTTTTTTTTTTACTGTTGCTCATGAGATGGCTCTCTGTTCCAGGTGGAGGTTCAGGTGGTCACCACTGACCATGCTACGCATTTTTACAAGCCTGAGCAGATCCCAGTCCGAATCTACACCGACAGGGACGAGTGGCAGGTATCCATGATGTCCAAGCTCGCTCAGATCTTTTCCAGCTTTAAAGGGGTACTGGATGTGAATGTGCCCCAGCAGAATGGTATGAACTTAACTTGAGTGCCTGGCTCTGCCGTAGATGTGGACGCAGCGCTCAGACCCCGTGCTGCATATAGAGCTGCGCCGCTGGGCCGACCTGATGCTCATTGCTCCTCTGGACGCCAACACTCTGGCCAAAATAGCTGGCGGTATCTGTGACAACCTTCTGGTAAGAGCATGCACAGGTTCAGCTGTGAGGTCCCATCCCTGGGCTATTTGGCTTGGCTCTGTGATACGTGCCTGTGACTGAGCGCTGTCTCCACATGCTGCCAGACATGTGTGGTGCGTGCTTGGGACCTATGCCGTCCGCTGCTTTTCTGCCCCGCCATGAACACGGCCATGTGGGAGCACCCCATCACCGCCCGGCAGCTGGATATGCTGAAGGACTTCGGCTACGTGGAGGTTCCCTGCATCGTGAAGAAGCTGGTCTGTGGGGATGAAGGTGCGTACCAGCCCAGCATGAAGGTTTTTGGCTGTGCTTTGCCTCGTATGTTGCTATTTATTTCATGGACAGGGAGTACATATGCTTTGGGACTGGATCACCACTGCTGAAGACAATTTCTGGTCAGTGTGATAACTCAAGAAGTATTTGATGGAACTTTGCAGACATAATGTATGGATGAAGATCTGGAACTGATCAAATTTTGAGACAGATTGCACCAAAACTGAGGCAGCGCTACATAGTGATAGCAAAGAGAAGGGCAGTGTCAAACACTTGATCCCATTTGTTCAATGCTCAAGATCTACACTTGAATTCCCGAAACTATGCTACGTGACAACAAAGGATGGAAACAGCAATTGCAGACACATAAGTTTCTGAACACAGTTAATCTCAGCAAAAAGCTGGTGAAATTTCCTACATTATTGTAGCGTAGTTGGACATACTTCGGTCAGTAAATCGATTCCCCTCCTGTGCATGCATACTGGGACAAGGACAGTAGTCCAATTAAACGGGACTATAACTGTAGCTTGACTTAGCTGTGCATGTAAATATACTGGCTGTTGTCCTTCCAACAGCATCTAGTTTATATGTTTGCACATTCAGATATAATAAAGACAGGAAATGAAACTGACACTAAGATAATGGGCAACCAACTATCCCAGTTAGTACCTTTCATTTCAAGTTTCACTGAAGATCTGCATGCAAGACTTGTGTGAAAGTCATTATTGATACGAAGGGTTTGAACCTCACACAGCCATTGAAAATAAGTCAGTTTGGTCTGAAATGAGAGATGAGGCCCATCTCGATATTGGATGTTTAAGCCTCTGGATGGCGTTCAGGAGTGGACTGCCTGCAAAAAAAATAAATAAATCTTGCAGCTGCAAGTATCTGTTGGGCTCTACTGTTTTCTCGCCTCAAAGTATCAAGGACACATTCTTTGCATCGAGATTACACTCGTACACTCGTACTTACACAGCCTCAGCTGAATTTTGTCTATGTCAGACGTGTATAAATGTCTTTCACTCGACTAATGGATCCCTGTAACAATCATAGAAGGTGATGCTTATGTAATGGAAGGTTCCAAGCTAGAGTCCTCTTCGGATGCTTTTCCATCACAGTAGGTACCGTACTTCTGCTATGGGCCTTTCAGTACTTTCCCTTGACTCCTGGTCCAGTACCAGTATCAATATTTCCAGTACCTCAGGTTCCAGTCCAACTCTGGTACATTTTTGGTAATTTGGTGTTTTGGGGTGGCACATGAAACACTTTCTTTGTCGATTGGTTATGATTGTAATAAATGTTGGGGCATTGATAAAGCAAAAAGCAGTTCAACATAAATTTCTCACAAACCCGTAGGAGAAAACGATTGTCTCAGAAAACATATGAAGCAGCACTCATGGAAAGCAGCAGATGAAAACTTTAAACACATTTTTAAGTATATACTACACAATCTTGAAAAGAGAGAATCATAAAAATAGATTTTTTTCCCCCTATGAGACTGTAAAAGAAATGTTTTAGCGAAACTGAAACTCCCTGCGCAATAATGTTCATTCCGAATTCAGGGTGAGAAAAAGCCAACTCTTAATCTAGCTGACTAGCGATGTGAGAATTGCATGTGCATAACATGCAATGTTGCTATTTATATTGCACATCATCCAGCCCTATAATATGCTGCAGTCATTTTTTGAATTCGGTACAAAAAACCCCATCTTGAGTTGTGATGTCATTCAGTGGCGATACCAGTTTTTATGGCAGTGAAAAACCAACACCTTGAAGTACTGTACTTTTGGTACTTCCTTGAAGTACCAAAAGTTCAGTACCTAGTGCAGTGGAAAAGCGCCTTTTATGAGAACTTCCTGCACTGGGGTTTAATGGCTCAATACTTTAATAATCTGTAAGAATGGAATAGTGAACTTCTGTTAGTGCTCTTTCTTTATGCTCCTCTGCCACTTGGTTCATCCTTCGGAGCAGAATGGCTAAATAAATCTAAATAAATAAATAAAGATTAACCCCATGCACCCTGCCATTTACAAGAATAATTGTATTGTTTTAGTATTCATGATAATGACAAGTATGTGTTGCCAAGTGCTAGCACACATGAAAATACCTTGTGAGTGGCGGGTGGGGTGGGAAGTAGGTGTAAGAATCTACTCTACTGAGTGTTCTTTATACTACAACACAGTGTTTCTCAGTCTGGTCTTTGGGGATTTCCAGACAGTATTTCTTCATTTTACTTTACTGCTGCTCCAGATTGAGTGCATTTTGTTTGTATTCACAATAGCAGAATGTGTTTCTGTATTTCCAAAGCTCCTGTATAAACACTGCAATTGCTTAGTCATTTACAGAAGCGTGACAAGAGCATTATTCACAAAAGAATGTCTTCTGCTCGAATATCACCGAAGCAAAATGCACTGTCCTAGTAAAGCCTACTAATTAGCTTCTCAGCAGAGGTACTGGCAAAATAAGTCTATTTACATGGAGTAAAAAGAAGGTTGGGTAATGTTTTTAGTGGTGGTAATAAAAGCACGTTCAGGCTAATTCCTGAAGGTGAATCTGAGGGGCTAATTACTGAACTAACCAATTTCACCCCAGGGATGAAAGTAATTACTGTTACTTGTTACTGCATGGTCACTCATTGTAACCATAAACTAGAAGCACCTGCTGTGATGCCTGCAGAAAGTTCTGACTGGGGTGGCAATCAGGGGGCAGTTATATTTATGGGGGTGGTCATTCCACGCTCTGTCTCTTCTATGGTTCCACTTAGAAAATAAGAAGAGAAAATAATCCCTGTTTTGTTCTTATTATTTTGATGTGGGTTGGCAATACGGGTGGCTACGTATTTTCATCTAGCCACCTGTTAGATCTGCCCCTGAACATATGTACTTAGTTTTGGTTCCTTGAGCCACATCATTATCCGCATAATTTGTACGTCGATTAAATGTGTTAATGTTACTTTGTATTGTATTTAAAAAAGTAAAACATATTCGCTAAATCAGCATACAAATGTTCCGCTGACTTCACGTAAGGTGGGCTGTAAACTGGTCAACTACCCAGTTAACAGTAGAACCGTCTGTTTCGCATACCAGTGTAGGTCAAACTCCTCCAAGCAAGACGTACTTCGGCTTATGCAGCCCTTTTGTTTGTGCTAATGTGACATTAGTGTTAATAACAGCAGCGAAACTAACACCCTGAACCAAAAAGCCATAAGGTTCATAACAGAGTGGCTGTTCTGTTGTGAAATCGTAAAGCTGCAAAGTTTTCAAACGCAGTGTTTTAAAAAATGTTGGATAAATAGACTTAGTTTACTGGTCATTTCATGTTCGTCGGTTTATGTTTTTTAACAACTGTATAAATGAATGTTATATTTTTATACAAATCAACTCGGGTGAAACAAAAAACACATTTTTGTGGTTTCCAGCGCTCACACATCTGGCGTGACTGACACTCCGTGACTCACGCTCACGTGGTGTCTTAACGGCAAATGTATGAATTAGCGACATCAAAAGCGTTGTGGTAGTTTGCAATCCCTAAAGCAGGGCTCACCAACATGGTGCCCGTGGGCACCAGGATGCCCCCAAGGACCGCATGAGTCGCCCGCGGACCTGTTCTAAAAATAGCACAGCTCACAAGTGAGCAGCGTCTAAAATAAAATTTTATCCTGTTGCTATTCTTCTTTAATAACATTTGCATTTATATAGATTTTAAAACATGTTTATTATACATGAAGTTTGGATAAGTTTAGGACCTAAACTGGTAGCCCTTCGTATGGCTCAGTACTCGTGAAGGTTGGGGACCCCTGCCCTAAAGACTACAGAGTAATAAAACTGTTCCATACATGTAGTTTGCATGTGTGTGCAGACTTGTTTCGAATTGAAGTCTCTCTCAAGCCAGCTGACCAAACCCTGCGTTTTACTTGAAATGAAAATTAAAATGCACTGTTTAAGGCTGAAGCTGTTTGTCTTTCTGTTTGCGTTGTTATTGCGACAACTACGTAACAAATATTTGGAAAACATTTCCTATGTCACTCCTCTTATCTTTTCAAAATAAAACCACCCTTACCCAACTGTAACGGCAATTAAAGTGTATTTAATACATCATGAAATGTGTGTGTGTGTGTGTGTGTGTGTGTGTGTGTGAGAGAGAGAGAGAAACATACCGTGATAATAATTTTATCTGTTTTTTTTTTTTGTTTGTTTTTTTTTTGATTGCAGTACCACATGCATTAATTGTTATACCCCAATGGCAGAATATTATGAGCGAATACCTTTTCCTTCCTTGTAAACTACACGAGAGCTTCGGTCATTACATTGTACATTACCAAAATTCACCGCTAAAATCAGAACATTCTTTTTAGAATATCACTGGGAAAACTGGTGGAAGGGAAAGGCAAGTTTTGATTTGTTACAGCTTCAAGAGATAGAACTGTAGGAGTGAAGTGTTGTGTTTAACTTTTGAACAATTGTTTGAACATTTCTGGGTAGTTTTATCATAGTCCAGCACCATGCTATTTGGTTAAATATATTTAAATAGTTTAATATTATTAATTCAAGTTTTATTTAAATTTTGAAATGGTTTTATTTTATTGAAGGCTATTGCCTTAAAATGAGGGTCTTTCCTGTTTTTGAGTGAATTTTCAGTGGTTGTCAGGCTTCTGTTTTTATATTCAAATAGGATTTAGATAAATGTTTTTTGGTCTTAAACATTCATCTTATGTTTTGAGAGCAGTGTCGCAAGCTGAGGAAAATGGAGTCTGTTGCTAGATACATTGAAGAGAAACACCATATTATTGTGGTGCTGTGCTTCTTCTATTCCGCCAATCAGTCAGGAGCCACGTGGGTAGATCTTCAGATTCAGTCTTTATTGTAGCAGCAAAGTTACGACCAAGGCTGGACACCCTGCAGAAGTGTGTCTGAGGCCATGCTACATACAGCTTTTATACACTTTCTCTTCTTATCACATACTTTGTCACAGGAAGTTTCACAGCCTCGTCTCTTCCTTTCCCAGACCCCCCCTGTTTTCTTTCCCAATAGGGCCCAGCTGTTTTGCGTCTCCATGAGATTTTCCCAGCGCTTTGTGCAATTATTTGGTTCTTTGGCTTCTGATGATGCATAATTATAGTGCAACCGTCCTTGACCTATAGGTGTCTCCCCATGATTCCCAGCAGAAGTCCATGTAACATCCTTCCGGCTCTGTTATGATTTATCCTGCTTTTATTAATAATACCAGGTTGTAATCCTCAGATGCCATGAGATGTAGCGTGAGCCAGCATAAGGCCCAAAAACATGCTTGTCAAGTTGATTTGATGTGATGCAGCAGCACCCAGAAACTCCGAAGAAGGTTATGTTTCGCTATAGAGTACATTGATTAAATGTCCGTTTTCCTAAGGTTACATTCAATCTATGTGTCTCTCATCTAGTTAATATGATGTGGTGCAGCAGCATCCGGAAACTCCAAAAAATGTTATGTTCTGCTACAAGCTGACTTAATGTTGTTTTCCTAGGTTACTTTTTCTCTTCGTATTAAATAGGTTCATAGTCCATGGTAGCTGCTTCATTTGAACCATGCAGCAATGATATAGGCACAATTATATTCCCTGGACTTTGGCAAATGCATAAGGCTTTAGCGCCAGTCTGCAGAGGCTTTGGTAAGTACTGCTTGCTGGCAGTAGTGATAGCGAAGAGAAGGCCAGCTTAGACACTGGACCTTCTCAGCATGATAACTTAAAAACTATTTTGCAAATCTTTTCCAATGTTTGCTGGCACATTGCACGTGAATATCTGGACCTGCTGAAATTTTGAGACAAATTTCCCCAAAATTGAAGCACATAGTGACATCAAAGAGAAGGATAAGAGGAGTAGTCGTGAACAGGATCAGTCCATTTATCATTTACTCTGTTTACTAAATTTGATCTTTGATGGATGTTATTACCACAGATTCAGATTCAAAATCTCCCCAAACCTGTAACTGCAACAACAGAGGGCAGCAAAATTGGAACGTAAGACAGAGGACAGCCAAGAGCAAAATGCAGCTTGCAGCCACCATCCTGTAAACATAACCATTTGCCATCTAATTAAATAATCTTACTGTGGATCTTCATGCAAACAAC